GGGGGGGGGGGGGGGGGGGGGGGGGGGGGATTGGTTCCGTTTAGTCGGTATGGCTGACTCTCAGAAACATGATAACAGCTTTCACGCACCTCTGGGGTTCACGTGCCCGCACGTGAAATTTTTAGCGGGGGAAGATAACTCGGGAACCAGGTAAGCTGGGAAGCTGAAATGCTGGGAGAATAACCTCTGTCCACGCGCGATCTAAACTTCTCAAGCTCAGTTCCTGATTACGCCTTCTTTCCACGTACTGTCACGTGAAAGTTATAGCAGGAGATCCGGGCAAGATGGGAGGCTAAAGTTTTAGAGGGAATTTCTTGTCAGCCCAGTTTGCATTTGCAGTGAACGACCGACCGGTCTTCGGAAATTATTCATTTCCCCTCATGCAAACTTGTCACGCATACTGGAAGATGGCACCTCACCCGGCCCCGTGACCCAAAACTACCGTTGCAGTCGACGCCCCCTTTTCCCCGTGTGCAGGAAAAAGCAAAACGCAGCCAGCAATAAGTGCGCATTTTAAATTGTAAAGCAACAACCATTAGTGATGCGATTGTTTCAAGTTCAGTGCAAAAACGCGTGCAGCTGGCTAGGGCACCGCTCAGCTGATCAGATTTTTAAAAGATTTCAGCAACAAGTGAAGGCAGCTTCTTTCTTCTCTCGCCTCGCATCCTGCCCAGTATTTTCCACGATTTTTAATTGTCCTGGTTAGTCGAGATCGGAGCTGTCTTGTTTGCTATAGCGGGGCAGTGGCAGTAGCTGTTGTAAACAGGCGTTAGAGCAGTGCTGAGGAAGAGAATGTCAGGTGACATTGTGGTCTGCCGTTTTCAGGATATCGTCATGGATAGCAGCAGTTCGAGCCGTATCGTACCGATGTGTTTATTCGCCAACTGGGAGACCGATCGGGCCATCACCAGTGCTGTACAGCGGTTAGTTCATTTCTTCTTTAGCTCAATAGGCGTGTGTGTGTGTGTGTGTGTGTGCACAAGAATCTCATTTGTGAACTGTGTTGTTTGCTGGTTACATTCGTAGGTTGTGCAGGCAGAAATGTTCGATTGCTTTGGTTGCGCTCATGTCAGAGTGTGGTCCCAGGGCGGATGAAGTACATGCATGTTAAATGAATGCTCAGTGCGAGTTGTCGGCGAAGTAGTACTAATGGCACTTCGATGATTTTTTAGTTTGCCACGACGCCTGGGTTTTTCAGACAGTGGCGGCCACCTTAGCACATAGTTTATGAACGGGTTCCTAGACTGAGACAAAGCATGACATGAATACTGTGCGTCAGCGATCTAGAGAAGTAGAGCCGATCAAAAAAATGAGTAATAAATTGCCAAAAATGATCAATAGACCTGCGGCTGAGTGACATCTTTGCATTCCTGCCCGGCATTTTGCAGTTAACGCAAAAAACTGGCGTGCAAGAAACAATCAGTGAAGTGGTGGCATTCTTAAACGAATTGGGAGGGGTGATTAGCCTCTGTGATGGGGGCCGCCTATCGCGACCCTAATTGTTATTTTATTTAGACTAGGGATACCCCGTGGGTAGGTACGTGTGTGTGTGTGTGTGTGTGCGTGTGCGTGTGCGTGTGTATGTGTATGTGTATGTAACATGCCGCGTCCTATATACACTTTTATTATACATAGTAGAGTGAAAAGGTAAGTACAAAAGTAGGTGAGGCTCTGGGGAGCCGAAGCTCCCCAGAATAGGAATATTGGTATATATCAGTAAGTCCTGGTGGAGGTCGGTAATGGTGGTCGGTAAAGGTGGTCGGTGATGGGGAGGAGTGCTTTTATACCCCAGGGGACAAAGATCGAAAGTTCAGTGAGGGTAGGGCGGTTAAAGTTTGAACCAGGGACAGGGGTATTGCGTCATAGTAACGCAGTTGGTCTTTAATCTATTTTTAACGAAAAAACCATTAATCACTATTTGATATATTACGCTATTACGCGATACGCCAAAATCTTTTGTCGGCAAGGTTAAGTGAAAATTTGAGTAAGGCGCCCCAAAATTCAGTCAGGAAAGTACAGAAGTGATGTAAAATGTGGCTAGAAAGAGACGCAGAATACTCGTTATGGGACGCCAGTAGTGCATTATGGCTTTTGGAGCGCGAGACGCTGAAACTGGAGGAAATGCTATAATTAAGGGCGTGAAGTGGGAAGGAAGCGGTTTGCTAGTGGCAGTAATTGCTTGCACAGTCGTTCACTGAGAGGCCTTTTTTTGTTGTCATTTTAAATTGCCAGTGTGCCAGTCTGTTCGGGATCGTTTTTAGGATGTTTTCGATGGCACTGACTCGTTTAGTGTTTAATTCATTTCCGGAGCACCACTCTACATTTGTCATTACTGTTAAATTACAGGTATGTGAATCCTTTATTTTATTCATAGCATCTGAGGCAATATCTGAGCTTATAGTACTTTTGTCAGTAGTCCTGCTCGGTAAAAACGCAGTGGCAGAGTTGTTTCATTGTTTACAGGGGTCGAAACGGTCACTCCGCAGCAATGACTTCCCAGTTCAGACAAAAAATGGTAGAGTGGATGTGGATTTGAATGTATCATTCACCATACAGGTTGTTCTTGCCGTAACCTCTGCTTCGCATTCATGCCTTCTCTTACATCCGTGCAAGTTCCCTTCGTTTAACTCTGGTCGTTTTTTTTTGAAATGGCCTCTCATACTTCTTAACTTTCTCCCTTCACTACTTTTTTTACTTCCCTTTGCATCACTGTATAATTAAAAAGAAAACAGACGATGTGCTACGCATTCAAAACTATCT